GTAGGTGAAAGTTTAGGATCCAGTGATCATCAGGCAGTGTGGTTTAATATAAGAACAGTGACTGAGTCATACCACACAAAAACAAAAGTTTTAGATTTTAGAAAAACAGACTTTTCTAAAATTAGAATATGCGTAAAGGAGTCCTTGTCAGACTGGAGCAGTTTAAATGGAGTCCAGGCGTATAGAATATTGCATATTCTATATTTTCCTATTCAAATACATATTAAGGTGTGGCTGTCTAATGGGTTAAACAGAACAGATGGCATTTGCTATTCTGTACCATGAGGTCTCTGGAATTTGCTGAATAAGAGATTTGGGGTGGTCTTTATATGGTGAATTTCCTTATATGGCCAGAGTCTAAACTAAACGTTATGATGTTATTTGGGCTAAATAGGGCAGAGGACAAAGGATCACGTTCTCTTCCTTCTTCGATCTGTTTTGCTCTCCTCTCTGATGTCCTGAGTTGCTGATACAAAGACGATTCTCTGTAACGTCGTTAAGAAATACCGTCTGTTAAGTATATTATTGTTTGCTATTGAAGTAGAATAAATGCATATTTTTTATAAAGAACGTCAGATTGCGTATTAGTACTTTTCATTGATATAGACATATATTAATGTGGCGAGCATTTTTTGGCCCAAGAAGAAATATATATATATATATATATATATATATATATATATATATATATATATATATATATATATATATAAAAGACTTATGCAACTAAATAAACACACAGACAGATATTACATTGGCTAGCCAGCCAGCCAGTCTTCTATTCAAGTTTTGTTCCCACTTCAAGGGGGGGAGAAGAATCAAGTTACAAAGCTAAGTTTTGGAACTGGGAAAACAAATTTGAAGAGAAAAAAGAATCTAGACTGTCACAAAAGAACTGTGTTTGTAAGAAAAAGAAAGTTTTCAAATCACAAAGACTGTACAAGACTATTTTCTACAACTGGGACAAAAAGCACAAGATACAACGTGAATTCTAGAAGCAAGCATGTGGCAGAGATTGGCAATCATCCAGATCCAAGTCCAGAACTGCGCAGCTGTGTGGATGAAGCAACGAATTAGACAGAAATAACTGATCTGGTAAAGCGTGACAGATCCATGTGGCAATAAATCAGGAAAGCATTCCTTCACACAACTGGACATCGACTGTTGGAAAGAGACTTTTCATCTGATCTGCAAACTGTGATGGAAGATTCTACAGAGTTCCTTTGATACAGAAGATTAACAGACTTACAAAGAAATAAAAGAATGACACTAACATACATATTAATTCCTAAATATTAATGAAGAAGAAAACAGACAATGAAAAGTTATTGAACAGTAATGAGTATTAATACCAAAAGAGTATTTATAAATGTGTAACACATAAAGTAAAATTACGAAAGGATAGTATTATGAAGAGAACTATTACATTATGACCTCTACATAGAATGAGAAATATCAGAGGTAGATAAAATATGAAGTTGATAAAATAAGGTTCATGGTTACTTAATACTACAAAGATTGAGTTTAATAGTATTTCATAGATTCACAAGAATTAGTAATTTGTTTATTTTGAGGTGAAGTAAAACAAACAATGATAACTAAAGGAAGAAAACTAAGGAAGGATAATTTATATTGATTAATATTAAGTAAAGGTATACATTAACAATGCCTTGGATATAAGAGTTCAGAGATCCAAGAGGAATTGAATTGAAGTTTAGTTAAGAGTATAGTACACAATTATATTTGACCTAAGTCTATAAAGGTATGGACTAGGGAGAATAGGTTTCTGGATATGGCGATATCCAATGAATAATTTGTTTTATGATTACCCTGAGTTTGTAAGACACAGACTAGGAATAAGAGTTTCTGGGCAGTATGACCCCAAGTTTATTTCATTTTTATTTTATTTTATTTTAATTTAGTCAGTTGAAGTGTACTAAGGAATATGGAGTGGTCAGAACAAATGTTTAAGTAATATTTGGACAATCCTACTTTTATGTTAAGATGTATTACATTAATAAGTCATCACAATTAAGGTCTAATGAAGAGAGTGATGCTAATGAATTTTAATTATTCTTTCCAAGTTATTTTAAAGTAAACCTTTCTCTGATTGAATGAAAAGTTTGTTAATATAAGGTGGAATTTTAGTGAAAAGTATAATGATGTAAGCAAAAACAAATATATGATAGAAAGATTTCTGGGTGGAGAATTTCTAGGACAATAAGTATTGTCAACAACATGAATATTATTTGAAGAATTATCATAGAACTTCATGTTTGATAACAACACAACCTTTGAAGGTTTGCAAACTATTATGAGTCTTATAAGTAGTGTTGATATATTTCAGGTAGTAAGAGCCTACTGAATATACAAATTAAATACTATGATTGTAAAGTATTGATACAATCATCACTAGGTGATATTAATGATATAGGAATGTACTTCATGAATAAAAATGACCTAAAGAGTTTAAGTTACTAGAAAACATGTGATTCATGGAAGTATAAGTGGACGTATAGTAATACATGTATTAGTACTTAAGTAATATCAGGTATTGAGAATGAAAATACTATGCTATATGTGTCTCTAGGAGTATGATAGTGATACACAGTTATTATTTAGAAAGTTACAATCTTGATTTTGTTGTCTACAAAGACATGACTAAAGGATAGGATTGTTGAACATCTAAAACACATGGATTTCAAGATCAGAGACAACATGGGTTTACTTCAGGGATATCATGCCAAACTAATCTTATTGATTTTTTTGATTGGGTAACTAAAATAATAGATCAGGGTGGTGCAGTAGACATTGCTTACCTAGATTTCAGTAAGGCTTTTGACACTGTTCCACATAGAAGGCTTATCAATAAACTGCAATCTTTAAGTTTGGATTCCAATATTGTTGAATGGGTAAGGCAGTCTCTGAGTGACAGGCAACAGAGGGTAGTAGTCAGTGGAGTATATTCGAAGCTTGGGCTTGTCACCAGTGGGGTACCTCAGGGATCTGTACTTGGACCTATTCTCTTTAATATTTTTATTAGTGATATTGCAGAAGGTCTTGATGGTAAGGTGTGTTTGCTGATTATACTAAAATTTGCAACATGGTTGATGTTCCAGGAGGGATAAGCCAAATGGCAAATTATTTAGATAAATTTGAAAAATGGTCAGAGCTGTGGCAACTGACATTTAATGTGGATAAGTGCAAGATAATGCATCTTGGATGTAAAAACCCAAGGGCAGAGTACAGAATATTTGATACCCTACTAACCTCAACATCTGAGGAAAGGGATTTAGGAATAATTATTTCAGATGACTTAAAGGTAGGCAGACAATATAATAGAGAAGCAGGAAATTTTAGCAGAATGCTTGGTTGTATAGGGAGAGTCATTAGCAGTAGAATGAGAGAAGTGCTCATGCCATTGTACAGAACACTGATGAGATCTCACTATTGTATTGTACTCAGTACGGGAGACCATATCTCCAGAAGGATATTGATAGTTTAGAGAGAGTTCAGAGAAGGGCTACTAAACTGGTTCATGGATTGCAGGATAAAACTTACCAGGAAAGGTTAAAGGATCTTAACATGTATAGCTTGGAGGAAAGACGAGACGGGGGGATATGATAGAAACATTGAAATACATAAAGGGAATCAACACAGTAAAGGAGGAGACTATATTTAAAACTTCCACAGCAAGAGGACATAATCTTAAATTAGAGGGGCAAAGGTTAAAAAATATCAGGAAGTATTACTTTACTGAAAGGGTAGTGGATGCATGGGATAGCCTTCAAGCTGAAGTGGTAGAGGTTAACACAGTGAAGGAGTTTAAGCATGTGTGGGATAGGCATAAGGCTCTCCTAACTATAAGATAAGGCCAGGGACTAATTAAAAATATTTTGAAAATTGGGCAGACTAGATTGGCCGAATGGTTATCTGCCGTCACATTCTATGTTTCTATGTTACGTTGGAAACAAGATTAACCCTTCCATAAACAGTGATACAAGAAAAGGGTAATTGTTGTAATAGAAAGTATGTACAAGATATTTACAATATGTTAACAGATTGAAAGTCGGATTCCACACTAGGAGAAAGCTAGAGATAGAAACAAAGTTTCACTGTAAGTACTCTGGAGACAATGTATCAGTTTCGTAAGAAAATAAAGTTATAGCTCATGCCACCAAAGATTCACTTGTGTAAGGAGAACATGCTCAATTGAAACAGGGAGTACTTACACCTCAGGAGGATGGCATAGAAAAGTAAGAATATGCGAATGCACACGAGAAAATGGATACCAAATATATATGAGATAAGCAATATGCAAAGAACAATATGCAAAAGACAATACGGAAACCAGCTGGTTAAAAACAATAACTAATTGGATTCATCTCCTCTGTAGGAAGCAGTATAGAGAGTTTTTTTCATTAAGTCCAAGGGTTGACATAGTCCCCAGGGTATGGATCCAATAAGCCTCACGCTTAAGTAATGTCAAATCTCGGTTGCCACCTCTGGGTGAAATGGGTACGTGATCTATGCCCATGAAGCAGACTGAGGCAAGATTGCGGTTTGTGTCAAGGAAGTTTCGTGCTACCTGTGTGCTCGCCGATTCGCGAAGTAGAGTACCTCATATATTGGATGTGTGGCCCTGCATTCTTTCCCTCAAATCGTTTGATGTCTTCCCCACGTAGTTGAGGCCGCATGGGCACACAATCCTGTAGACTATGTGTGTGGTGGTACAGGTGATGCGGTACGTGATTTGATAAGTCTTGCCTAATCTGGGGTGACAAAAAAAGTTTTTTCCAGTGATCATGGAATTGCAAGTTAAACAGTTTCGGCAGCAGTAACATCCCGCATTGGGTGCCATGGTAAGAGATTGAGCCCATGTTATGTGGTCAGTATGTACCAAAAAGTCCTGCAGTTTTTTGCCTTTTCTGAGGCTCATAATAGGTATTTGATGGAAAAGGTAGGGTAATGATGGATCTTTGCTCATGATGGTCCAGTTCTCACATATGCTGGTACCCAGTTCCCATTTTGGGGTGAAATGCTTGTGGGAAAATAAATCGATCTCCGATATCTTGGTGAATCATGTTTTCCGCAACTGATTTAACAGCCCTGGTATAGGCTGAATTTAGACTTGCTTTAGAGTAGCCACAGGCCACACGTTTTTTAAACATCCCTTCAATTTGCACTTGTGCTAGGTTATGGTCAGAATTGTTGCGTAAAATTCTAACAAATTGGGATACCGGTAGAGACTCTTTCAGTTTTGTTGGGTGAAAGCTTGTGGCATGCAATATGGTATTCCTGTCGGTTGGTTTTGAGTACAACGTGTATCCAATGTGGTTGCCTGTGACAAAAATTTGTAAATCCAGGAAGTTGATACTGGTAGTGCTTGTTAGGAATGTGAACCTTACAGGAGATGGTAAGGAATTCAAATCATGCATCATCTCGATGAATTCTTGATCAGTCCCAGTCCACAGCAAAAGGACATTGTCAATGAAGTGAAAGTAATGTAATATCTTTGCTGCATAAGGTGTAAGGATATGCTTTTATACATACGCATGTAATAAAAAAATAAGAAATGATCCCAAGGCACACCACGGTTTTGCACATAAAAAGAGTATTTATTCATACATAGAAAATACAAAGACATCATTATAGCAGAGAGAAAGTGCATAGCATAGTGCTAAACCAGTATATAGTACCAAAACCACAATGTAAGCAAAGTGCTAAATGCAAGAACCCATTAAAAAAGGTATACTAACCAAGAGCAGGAGAAATTAAACCCCAATGTTTTGGCTGTGAAGCCTTCCTCTGGGGGACCTCTCTTTGTTCATACGCATACATGAATGTGTTTGCATACATGGGGGCTATCGGTGCCCCCATAGACATTCCTGTCAATTATGTGTAGTATTTGGATTAAAATCTGAAATAGTTCAGAGTTAAACACAGACGGAGCAGTTCAAGAACATATTGCAGTGGAGGTTATATCCTCTCTTAGGAATTCCGGAGCACATCCTCCATTGATTGGATGCCTTCTTGGTGGTGTATAATTGTGTAGAGACTGCATACGTCAATAATCACTAGGAGGATATACCTGTTTGGTATCACAATATTATTACATTTTTCTATGACTGCACCACTGTCTTTAACACAGGTGGGTAATGCCATTACTACAGTTTTGAAGAGTTTGTCCAGGATTTTCCAATAGGTTCAAGTAGGCTTTCGTTGGCTGATACGATCAGGTGACCAGGTGGGTGGATGGAATCCTTGTGGACTTTGGGTAACGTGTATATAATCGGGCATCTTGGATGGGTCTCATGAAGGTATTCATACTCCTCCTGTGTGATGAAGTGGCTCTCAACGTTTTGTAGAGAGCTCATGATTATTTTACTATATTCAGTAACAGGATCCTGGTCAGATACTTCATACACTTTTTTGGCCGACAGTTGTCTTTCCTCCTTGTATTCCGAATACTGCATGAGAACAATCGCTCCCACTTTGTCAGCAGGACGAATGACGAGTGATGGATCTTGGGCCAAACTTTTCAGTGCCTTCCTTTCTTGCTGGGAGATATTCGCTCCTTTTCTTGTTTCCTTCAGCAGTTTTTTGACGTCTTCTGAGGTTTTGTGCAAACACTTTGAGTGAGGGATTCATGCTGGGGTAATCAAACAGACTGTTGAGTTTCATTGTTCCTTCATGTGAACTTGTAGTTATATCACGTTTAGATTTTAAAAAAAATCAGCCAGCCATAATTTATGCTGAAATTTGTATTGGTCAACTTCCCATTCAAAGCCATCAGCGTCTGAGGTGGGTATGAATGAAAATCCTGTGGATAAAAGTGTTGTCTTAGTAGCAGAGAGCACTCTTGTAGATAAGTTGATAATGGGGCTGTCATTCACCTGCGAGGAGGTCTCCCTCTGGTGCCGGTACGTCTTCCCCATCTGGCCTCTTCCTGCATACTTGTTGCGAGTGAAGGTTGGTTTGTGTCACCTGTATCGCTTTGGCATGTGACCGTCTGTAGGGGCTTCCTGGTGAGGCCCAGACCGGTTCTAAAAAAGTCACATTTCTGTTGTTCCTCATATTACTTTTTAGAGTAACACTTTTGTGATTGACTGCTGAGTTCGGCATCAGACGCCGATTCTCCAGATGTATTATGCACTGTTGAAGTTAGAGGTTTTCTGATCCTGGGTCTGTCTGGTCTTTGGTTATCCAGGAATAATTCCCGACCATACCACTTATATACCCTGTGTTCAGAGTAGTCAGAATTCACTTTGTCTAGTTTCTGGCACTTGAATCTTACCAAGTCTTTTATTTTTATATAGCTTTAGATCTTCTTCTAATTTCTGTATTAAGGCATCACAGTTTCGGGTGGTAATCATCATAGTGTGTTTAAGTTCATATTCTGAGATCTTATGTTTAGTGATCTCAAGTTCCATGCCGACTTCCTCAATAACTACAAGCATGATGACAAGAGAACATTTGTTCAATATACCTATCCATGTGCGGCATGCCTCTGGGTTGTTTTTGCAGATAGTGGGGACATGTTTAATCCTAAAACCCCTTTGGATTTTTTTTAATTCTATAGTAATCTGACAGGTATATAGCATGCAGTTGAAAGTCAATTTCTCTTTGACGTGTTCTCTGTAACTCACGTATGATGTCTTTAGCGTCTGAGGATGCTGGTAAATCAGCGTCCATTTGTGGCCATAGGATTGCTGCCACTTGTTCATCTGAAATCTGTACAATTTCTGCATGTTCCAAATAAGCCTCTGCTTTGGTGAGGAAGTCCTCCATGTTAAGTTCTCAAAGTGAGTCTGGCTTATTGGATCCATACCCTGAAGACTATGTCCCCCCTTGGACTTAATGGAAAAAAAACTCTCTATATTGCTTCCTACAGATGATGAGATTAATCCAATTAGTAATGGTTGTTAATCAGCTGGTTTCAGTATTGTCTTTTGCATATAGTTTTTTTGCTGAGGATTTCTAGGCATAATTTCATACTGCAAAATATATGAAAATAAAAATGTTTATACCTGGCGGGATTAAGCTTTTCCCATGGCCAAACATTCCCAAAGATCATCTACTTGTGAGTTGCCTATCTTTTTTTTATTTATTATAACAAACAATAAAAAAATAAAAACAAACGGAAACAGATGGACAAGTAAATTGATTAAGTGATTGATTAACCCCTTCACATCGTTACGGCGTTCTATGCCGTCCCGCTTTAATTGGGATTTAAATCCGTTGCGGTGGCACAGAGCACCATAACAGCTTTGCGCCCTGGATGCTTACCTTCCCAGCGCTCCGCTTCGGGAGGACTGCCTCACAGCCCAGGCAGCCCTCCCACGGCAAATGAGGCCCCTGGGGGCCATGTGATCGCTCTCAAAGAGCGATCACATGGCCCCCTATAGCTGGCTGGGGATCTGCCAGCAGGGGGACTGTCTGAAATATCAGACAGTCCCCCTGCTGGTGGGAAATGTAAAAAAAAAAATAATTAGACATGTGTAAAATAAAATATATATATTTATAAATATATAATATATGTATATATATTATATATGTAATATATATACATATTATATATATGTAAAGTCATACATAGTGTATTTTAATATTAATATAAGTACATATATTAGCCACTTAGTCACAAACACTGGCCAAATATTAGTTTTTTTGCTTTTTTCACACAAAAACAAATATGAACGCTAACTTTGGCCAGTGTTTGTGACTAAGTGGCTACTAAAAAAGACTAAACATACCCCACTTTCAATACCTTGGGTTGTCTACTTTTTCAAATGGTATACCATTATGGGGGTAATTCTCATTCCTGGGCTACCACACCGTCTCAAAGGTAACATTACTAATCTGGCAAATTTCAATTTGAAAATGGAATGTTCTATATTTGACCCTGTAACTTTCCAAAACACCATAAAACCTGTTAATGGGGGGTACTGTTGTACTCGTGAGACATCGCTGATTACAAATATGTGCATTTTTTTGCAGTAAAATCTAACAGTATTATGACATTCACAGCTAAAATGTCAGACGGAAATACAAATGTAAAAGAAAAATCTTAATTTCTCACATTTTTTTAAATTTTATGCATAATAAATTATGTTCCATAAATGAATAGTTAATGATAAATTAAAGCCCTGTTTCTCCTGAACAAAATGATATATAATAATTGTGGGTGCACTTAATGTGACAGATGTGAATTATGGTTGAACAGACATATAGTGCAAATTCCAGTTTTTGTTTACGTTTTGTTTTGATCAGAACGTGCACTATTGACTCCGTCCTGAAGGGGTTAAATACAAATTCTGCAGAATGACAGTGTTATTTATGTGTTAAGTATAATTATGTTGCTTAATACAATCTGAAACCAGTGAATGTTGTCATCTTTGACTTCATTCAAACAAATTGACGTATTTTGTACATTTCAGGGGACTGTCTTTGTAGAAAGCACTGCTTAATGTGTGCATTTTAGTGTTTTGCAATGAGATGTCACAAGGTCAGCAAAATGATGCATTGTTTGTGTAGTAATGCATAGAGTTTCCAGATCCACCACAGTTTCCTTAAAACATAGTACCTTCATTCTGTTGGACAGTACATGAAAGTTTAATCAGTTTTGTTTCTGTGCATGCAGACCTAGCCACACCTTCCCTGGCTGTTACCCACACAACCTGCTTGAAAGAAATGGTTTCATTTTCGATCATATATTAGCTTTATAAGTTATCTCCTGCCATGTAAATTGTAACGGATCACCTGGCACCCCGACTGGGTACCTCCGTTGAAAGATGCTCCTAGCGCTTCCAGAGGACTCCAAGCACTCCACCAGACACCATAAGCACCGCAGGCTGCAGCTATCTCCCTTCAGAACGAAGCAGGAACAAGCTCTTACAAGAGCTCAGTGATTATAGCAAGGGAATATGCCTAGCATAGCAATCCCTTGTAGCAGATTCCCCCAATAAGAGACAGGACTCAAGTTGAGGGTAAAAATAGAACTCTCTGGCTGCTAGCTTGCAGCCCTTTTTATTAGGTGCTCCCATGAAGGGGAGGGACACACACAGTAACGTACATTAACCAATCACACAATAGTTACATCCCACACATAGCCCTCCCCTCTACCTGTAAACTAATTATCTGTACACACAGGAAAATACAATTATCATAGGTAGGGAAAATAAACAGTTTAACCTGCAGGGCCATAGTCCAAAGGCAAGAGGCGGGCAAGCAGCCCCCTCCAAGGACACGTGGCGAGGTCGGTTTTGCCACACTTCTCCCCTTTGCCCCCCAGACTAACAGGGTATCTGACCTCCTGCCGGTCAGTGCCCTGGTTAGTCCAGCAACCCACCCACGAAGCACAAACAGCAGTACAGCCCACCCACAATAAATGTTTACTCCACCTGGATAAAGTAGCAACTTGTCCATGTCCAGGTGCTTC